ACATTACAGGATTGAGCTGGCAAGATGCAGAGCAATTTGCTCTGGGAATGTCAACTGGGTAGGAGCCTCAAGATAAGAGGCTATGACTCCCCAGGGCACAAGAGTTTGCATATCTAAAACCCAAGCAGTAGCCCCCCAAAACAATTCTACTGCTACCTTAATCAGGTTATGTAAATTGATCCTTCTGCATGTCTTTATCTCTGCAAATTATAGAGATGCCATCCTTGTACCTCGCCAGCTAGCTCAAGTTACTCAGAACTCCCCCCACCCCCACATCCTATCACTCATCCCTGAGCAACCCTCCCTTTCTTCACAAGATAATAAATGCTGGGAGAGGTCTAGGATCTAGGTCTTTGTCTACATGTCCTCATGGGAAATGGACTTGGGTCCCTTTTGCTGCCCTTAACTTGGAATATGTCTTGGTATCTTTACTCTCACCGTGGGTTGCATTGGTGGTGATAGATTGGAATTGACTGGCTGGGACTCCAATAACATCTCAATAGGATTAGAAATATAACTGTTTGGATTGTGAGGAAGACTAGAAAGAAGATTACAATACTTGGGTGACTGAACTCGATATTTGGGTTTCCAATAGGTTGGCACTGAGCATCTGCAGCATTCGGGAGCCACAACCACAGGTCCCACAGGGCTGTGGGAGCCCGAGCCTCCACATCCACTCGAGGGCCAGGTCTGCGTCCTCAGGGTCTCAGATCTGGAGCTCAAGAGTTCCAAATTCAATTCACAGGCACTAGGAAGTCATTCTGAAGAGATCTCAGGAAATACGAGTGGGATGGATTCTGTAACTCAACACAGAAGGCGACTCCATCCCATACCTTGTGTCTAAAATACTGTGTCACCTGGCAGTGAGGTAAGCAGCACAACTTCAAATGTCAGCCTTAAAGACCCAAAGGCTGTTGGTTTTGTGTTCTGAGCGCCAAAGGACTTCTTCCCAAGCCCTGGACACCCGCCCTGCCCAGAATGCTGCTGGTGCAGGCCAGAGTGAGATTCTAGCCACTCCAGATCCATGGAATCTGGAGACGACACTGTTCCCACTTCACACACAAAGCAGCTGCAGGTAAGGGGCTCCGGTGACTTGTTTGGAAATGAATTCTGCTGTGAAAGCACACAGTTCTATCCTGCACAGTTCTATGCTTTACATGCTTTGAGATATGACTGTTTGTTAAACATAGTTCCTGTTCTACAGAAAAGCAAAATGAATGACTGTGGTAAAGCTGGAAATATCTTACTCATAAGAAAGTCAAAAGGCAGCTTTATTTGCAAGATAATAAACAGTCTTATGATTAAGATCTGTATTTTAAGGCCAGGCACAGTTGCACACACCTGTAACCCCAGCATTCTCGCAGGCTGAGGCAGGAGGATCAAATGACAGCCCAGCCTGGAAAACCTGTCTCAAAATAAAATATAAAAAAATGGCTGAGATATGACTAAATGTGAAGGCCCTAGATTAAGCTGTTAGCACTGAAGAAGAAGAAAGAAAAAGAAAAAAAGGGGGAAAAGAGAGTTTTAGGAAATTAAATTATCCCAACAACTTTTCATCAGGGTGAAACTCGACAATAGCAATGGGCCTAGAGCCAGCAGCATGGGACTGCGGCCAGCAGAGAAGTTCAGGTAGCACTGTGACACACTGTGCGGAGACGGTGCTCACAGAGGGCCGTCTGAGCGAGCTAGAAGGAAGTGATGTCTCCACCTGGCTGTGTCACAGACGACCTTGCCCACCGGGAGTCTGTCTACCTCACCGCTCCCACACGATCAGGGGAAGTGACACGGGTTACCCATGAGTCAGAAGCTTCTGCGGCGGGCGGCCGGAAGCAGCCTCCATTCTAGTCTGCTTCAGTGCGCCCCGCCCAGCAGACCTGCCTGTGCCTTGCTCTGGCTCCCAGGGCACCGGATGCTCTACTGTGCCTCCTCTCTCCTGGGAGAGGTTTGGGCTGCTTGAGGTCTTCCTCTGGCTGCTGCTAATGCTGATTAGCATGTGCTGCTTTGGGGCTGGCCTGGGCTCTGCCAGGTGCTGCGGGCATCACAGTGAGTGGTGTGGACGTGGCCCTCCAGTTCTGCTGGCTCCCCACACCACAGCCTGCCTTGCCCCTGCAGACAGGTGTGTGAGCATGATGCCTGCCTTAGTTATTCTTCTCTCTTTCCTGAGACAAAATACCCGATATCCCCGGTTAAAGGAGGAAAGGTTGACTAGCTCACAGTTTGTAGAGGTTTCCGTTCATTATCAGCTGGCTCCGAGACAGACTGGCATGGCAGAGGGCATCACAGAGGAGAAACAGCTCATGGGGGACTGGGGATTTAGCTCAGCAGCATAAGTGCCTGCCTTGCAAGTGCGTGGTTGTGAGTTCAATCCCCGGTACCAATAAAAAAAAAAAAAAAAAGAAATAGCTCATGATGGGCAGGAGGCAGCAAGGCAACACAGCTCCTTCTACCCTTCTACCTTATCCAGGCTACTCAGGGTACACAGCACCCACATTCTTAATCCCAGTGCCCTTGATCCTAGCATTGCACCATGAATCAATCCCAGCGTCACACACCCTAGATCCAGCCACCTCTAAAAAAGCCGCATACGACTGAGTGAGACTTTGCGGGGATATCCAGACACAACATAACAGCACCTCCCAACCGGCATCGTTGGCTCAGGATCTTCTCCTGAGGTCAACATCATGGAGAACTCAAACGCAGCATGACCTCAACTGACCCTCTCACCATCTTTCTTACCATACTCTCTTCTGCCCTTTCACTGGGCACCTGTCCTTCCAGATGGCCAGATTAGAAAGGGCAGCCACCTTCCTCCTGCACAGGACGGTGAGCAGCCCTCTGATGTGCCACTACAACTGGCTCCTCCACCACCCACTTGCCCTCGACAACACAGCTTGCTGCAAAGGCATTCAAGTCAGCCTCTGCACCGAAGCCTGTTTAATCTATCCCTTGTGCTGCTTTTGGAGTGACTTTTTAACCTCAGCTTAGCTCATGTTACTCCCCCAAAACTGTGTCTTCCATGCCTCAAGAGCCCTGATGGCAAGAATGGTGACGATGGAGGTGAGAGGGGGTGAAATGATGTGTACTGAGGCTCACGGTGCGCCAGGTACTGGAACTACTTATGTATTATTCAAACTTTGAGTGTGTATCAATGAGGCACCTGCAGCTGCTGCTATCAGCTTACAGGTGAGGAAACTTCTGAAACAGTGACACTTGGTGCCCTTGACAGTGGATCCTTGCATCCTTTCCTATTCTTTCTGCTCATGAGGTTCTACTCTCCGTCTAGTGGAAGCTGCAGCTGGTCCTGCTGACCAGAATGGAACAGGGCCCAATGGGTGCCCTCATGGTTGGAAGACCTAGTAAAAATGTTGTCATCTGTAAACCTCCAGGTTTCCTCCTCTTAGATGTGCTATTATTAGATTATGAGGATTTGTAGAGTGTCAGACATTCCAGTTATGGAAGCATGGCAGAAAATTTTTTTCTAAATAACAAGTGCTACTAAAGTGCTCATAAATGATGTGCAATTCAAAACAAAGCAAAGGACCTCAGGAAGTCAAAGGATATACTTAGGAAGAGCCATCTCAAGAAGGGAGTCTTTGTCACCTATCCTGAGACTGCGGGGAGAAATACACTTTGTAGGAGAGTATCTGCCCTTTCCAAACCTAACTTCAGGAGAACATCAAAAACTTTAAGAGAAAGAACTGTCAAAATGAAGTAGGAGCTGGGCATGGTGGCAATATGTGCCTGTAACCTCAGCACTCAAGAGGCTGAAGCAGGAGGGTCGTAGTGAGTTCGCGGCCAGCCTGGACTACACAGCAAGACCTTGTCTCAACACACACCGCCTCCCATGAACTAGGAACGTATTTTTTAACAATTATACTTTTTTTTTTTGGCTTGTATGAGAAGGAACAGAGAAAACGCTGGTAGAAAATAAATGTTTGGAAGACAAGGAACAAAGAAAATTATACTGAGGCGGAAAATATGATATTTTAACTGTAAGACAGAACCTCAAAACAGATAAAAATGTACTAATAGCCTATATTTTGCAACCATTAGGTTGCAAGGCCATTACTTCTAGAATAAATATTGTAAATGACTTGAGCAAATGACCACCCTGCTATCTATAGTCACAGTCCCTATCTGCAGCCCACACCCACAGAGAAGTGGAGGGGAACTCCAACTCCAGGTCTGGCCCAGCACATTTCTGAGCAATGGAGAAGCAGGCCACACATCAAAGGCACTGCTATCAGGGCCTACTGAGAACTGGTCACACCTGCCATCCACTCCTGACTGCCTGTGATAAGAGCATGGCAGAGGTTGCCCCAGTCAACACAGCCCCTTGGACCCTGGGCTGCAGGAAGGGAGTCATAGCCCTCTGGCTGTGGGATAGGGAGAGCAGGGAGAGAAAGGTCTGCTCACTGAATCTACTGAAATCTCTGGAGAAGTCATTTCACAATCACATATATAACAGCTTCCACCTAATAATTAAATATCAATCATTAAGATGCTGGTTTTGAATTCCTAGAATGTTTACTTCATAATTTAAAAAATTACTTGACTACTGTACCATTCTCTCTGGCAATGGTGAGCACATAAAGGGGAGAATGACTTAATATCACAATTCCCTTTATTTTCCTTGAATCATTTTTTAATTGCACAAATCCATAGACATCTTTAACAATTAAAATCCAACCCAAGGGGCTGGGGATTTAGCTCAGCGGCATAAGCGCCTGCTTTGCAAGCAGGCAGTCATGAGTTCGATCCCTGGTACCAATAAAAACGAAAAAGAAAAAAAAAAAATCCAACCCAATTCTCTTTCCTCTGTTTTGAAGGAACCATCAGCTTCTCCCCCTGCCCTTCTCCCAGGGTAACCTCCCTATCTCCCTCCCTCCGGTGACACAGTCCAGGAGACACCTGAGAGGCCCTACCCCTCCCTGTCAGGCACAGGCTGCCCAGCCACCGCACTTCCTCTCCCACCAGCTCACCAGGCCTTTTTCTTCCTCTTGTGCTTGGATTCGATCATGCGAACAATGGCTTCCTCTTCGTAGGTGTGGCCGCACACTTTATTTTTCACTGGCTTCTTCATTTCCAGCTGTCCTCAAGGAAAGAGAGATTTTCAGGAGTGATAAGCATCAACTTCCAGCAACTGTTTTTTCCTAGTCTGGGGCTATGTTTTAACTTCCCATTCTCCTGGTTTTAGATGATTAGGAGGCTTTGGAGAAGGAAATGCAGGGAGACGTGGCACCAATGTCACTTGGCCTGGGGTCATGGCTTTATTCCCAGAGCCTTACGTGTGTGACTAAGAGTTCTCTCTGGCCCCAAACTTCTCACATACACTTCTCAACTCTAACCCCACCCTCAGCTCCAAATGTGAAATCAACTCAGAAAATGAACAGGAAGCTTTCGCCTCTGTGCAGTTACCTGCCTTTTCCATACCTGTGTAATGGGGCATATGAAGTTGGTCTGACTCTGAGTCACTATCATATCTTCATCAAATCCTTCAGTCCCATCAGCCTCTCTCTCTGCCTGGAGACCATCTAGAGAAAGAAAAAGGAGTCATGAGACTCCTGGGTCTAGCAGCAAGCCAAGGGCAGGAAGGAAGGGCGGGCAGGAAGCTAACATTTCTCGGGCGCTGCTCTGCATCAGCCTGTGCTAGGTACCTGAATGCATGTTAACTCTTCTGCTTGTAACAGGAATGGTGGGGAGGGAAAGGGGAAGTAAAAATGCCCAAGATATGACATGGACATGTATCCATTCCCCCAGATAAATACAATTATTATGTATTAGAAACATACACTAACAAAAACATCAGAAAACAGAATTCTGCAGGGTATCTCATTCTGTCCATTTTTGGTAATAAAATGGAGGTTTAGAGCAATAACGAAAAAGGTTTTTCAAATTTTAGAGAATTAGGTGGGTGTGGCGGTACACACATGAGCCCAACACTTGGAAGGCTGAGGCAGGAGAATGGATATGAGTGTGAGTCCAGCCTGAACTACATAGTGAGTTCAAGGAAAGCTTGAACTATACATAGAGACCCTGTCTCAAAAAACCAACCCATCCACCAAACAAACAAACCAACAAAAGACAGTTAATCTGTGAGGGTGACCAAGAACACTGCCCGGGAGCTGGGTCCCCACCCGGCTGAGACCGTGGCTAGCAAGTCTCAGTGTTTCCAAGGCACTGCTTCCTAGTTCTGCTGAAAAGGAGAGGTGAAGAAGGAAGGCGGCTTCTGCTCGGGGTTACCAGTGGGTGGGGCCCTCCTGGGTAGTGCAGCAGCTCCCAAATTTCTGGTCTCGAGCTTTGACCCTTTGTACTTTTAGATTTTACTGTGGACTACCACCAACTTTTCAAAAGATATGGGTTAGACTTACCAGTATTTACCACATTAGACATAAAGCTGCAAAATGGAAGAATGTATCTGTCAATTTCTTACATGTTTATTTTTTTCTAGCTTGTGCTATTGACATTATAGAAATGGGGAGTGGCAAATTTGGTTTTCTTAGTTTTAATTTTTTATTAGTACATATTTGCCATACACACTGATTATATTTATCACAGAGAATTTGTACTTGTACATAATATACCTTAATTCTTTTTTCTGATTCGTCTTTCCTTCTTTCAACCCTTTACTCCCCTCTCCACTTACAATCTTCTTACAGGTTTATTTTGATTCAGAAAGAAAAGTAGCAAGACCCCTACATGTTAACATAAATAATAAAGTGCAGAGTGGCAATCATTTAAAAAATGAAAAGAGTGGTACTGTCTTCTATTTTTGTAAATACCTTTAATGTCTGGCTTAACAAGAGCTGGATTTTGACATTTATGAGTGAATGCTTTCAATCTGTCACAGTGTCACAACGTGGGGTGCTGGAGAAATTCACTCAGGAACAGAACAAGTGAGGACAGGCAAACGACAGCACACTGCTATGCTGCCACAAAAGCAAAGCTGACCGATGGCCACCCTGAAGGACTCCTGGAACCCTGAGGTCCCTGCCCACACCTGGAGGACTGCGAGCAGTGTGCGCAGGGCCGGCTGTGGAAGCACTGCTGTTGACGGCACTGGCCACCTCCTCGCCTCTTCTCCTGTCAGCGTATACTCGCCCTTCCCTACGGAACACACAGCGGTGGTGACTTTGAACAGGGTGGTGAGACTGACTATTTCACATGAAAGCCTTTCTGTCTGAGGTTGAGTGTCTATATCCTAAACTCCTGAAATTCAGAGTCTACAGATTTCTAACACCAGCATGACACAACAGACGGAAAGTCCCACTGAGGTAACATGCACAACACTACGTGAAACATTGTGTGACGTTCCCTTCAGGGTATGTGTACGAGGGCGCAGAGAGAGAACATGGGGAGTGTTTGTTTAGACTTGTGTCCCATCCCTCAGATATCACTTATGTATAGGCAAACATTCCAGAATAATAAAAAAAAGAAACCCCCAATTCAAAGCACTTCTGGTTCCAAGCCTTTTGGATAAGCCTTGGGGGAAGACACATACCAATCTGTCCTTGTCATTTGGTGATGTGTCTTCCCTCCTTTTTCCTCTCCCTTTCTCTTCCCTACTCTTTTCTCTCTTCCTTTCTTCTTTTCACTTGTGAGAATAATACAGACACAAAGCTGCTTTCCTTTTAATGTGTGGGAAGGAAATCCTCGTCTCTGGTTCAGACAACTCTGCAAAGCCCACAGCTTCACAGAACCGACCCTGGGCCTACTCCACCCAGGCCAAGTGAGTGCGTGAGAAGCTGCTAGCAGGGCAGGAAAAGAGCCGCTGAGCTCTCAGAGCTGTCCAAGTGTGCCCACGGCTAGAAGCTGGAGTTCTGTCTCCAGTGACTCTCCCCCGTGTTAGTTTCCCCTCCTTTCAGCACAGCGGTGGCACCACCTGTGTGCCAGCTTCTGTCCCTCAAACCATTCTCGTCCCTAGAAGAAGGTACGAACGAAGACCACAGGGCACACGCGCTCGCAGGCAGAGCACATGCCTGACTGCTGGGTGGGTGGACTCATGCCCCGGGCCTTTCGCCTTCTCAGGGAGCCATGAGAATATACGTGACCTTGGAAACCATGCACAAATTGAGCATCCCTAATCCAAAAACCCAAACTATTGAAATGTTTCAGATACTAACATAATTACCTGAAAGTTCTAGATTTTCAAGCATTTGATACCTTGGATTTCTGGGTTAGAGATGTTCAACTAGTAAAGCCTACACAAATGTTCCAAAATCTGAAAGCTGAACCAATTCTAGTTCCAAGTATTTTGGTAAGGGATGCTCAATTTGTACTGGCTTCAAAACGGGAAAACCAAAAAAAAAAAAAAAAAAAAAACAAAAACCTGAAATGAAAATAAGCAAATATTAAAGGTATATTAAGCTGGGTGTGGTAGCACACACCTGTAATTTCAGAACTCAGGAGGCTGAGGCAGGAAGATCCTTGAAAGTTCGAGACCAGCCTGGGCTACACAGTGAGCTCAAGACCAGCCAGAACTGCATAGAGAGACCCTGTCTCAAAAAAAAAAAGTATATAACACTTACTGTTTGATTAATTTTATTCACTCTTGTTTTAGTAATCAAAATATTTCATGTAGAAGTAATATGTGTGCTGGGATTCTTTTTAACTACTAAAAATTCCTAGGTATGGTAAGGTAAATATTGATAAGCTATTAGACAATTATAAATTAAATCACTTTCTGGTGGATGACCTATTTCCAAAGTAAAACTGAAAGTATCAAAAAGCCAAAAACTTCTCAACAGTGCATTTACACTGAGGCGGGATATGTTGATGTACAGCTGTAATCCAGCACTTGGGAGGCTGAGGCAGAAGGATCTCTGTGAATTACAAAGTGAGTTCAAGGCCAGCCTACCCTAGACAGTGAGACCCTGTCTCACAAAGACCAAAAAAAAAAAAAAAAAAATTTACATTGAACGTGGGGGTTGCCACTTTTGTCTGTCAGCTATGATGTAGGGGTAGAGTCTTGGAAATATTATTCTTATCTATGAAGGGTTTTCAGGCTTTCTTGGGGCTGCCTTCAGTAATGAAAGTGTATGAGTTAGACTCCTAAAAAAGTTCTTTTATCACATCAATGGTTTAGAAAAGTTGGATATGCAAGGCAAAAGGCCAAGTAGCAGACTGCAAGCCATTCTGTTTCTAGGGTCCATTTTCCAAAGCCTCCTCCTCGGGCTGCTGCCTCCTATTTCTGATTGTGCGTCTCAAAGTGGAAATAAATGCAGCTCTTTGTCAATTTCTTACATGGTTTATTCTGAACTGATAGCAGATTTCTGACTATAAATGGTACATCATGGAATTCACCAGAAAATCTGTTAGATGCATAATAAGAGTTCAGCTGATGTGAAAGACTGTGGATTTGTTGGCTACTTTCTCTATTTAAATTTCAAATGGTAGAGGAAGAAAGAAAGCACAACTCCAATGCAGTGCCTATCACTGGGGAAGGTTGGGTGGGGAACTTTGACATTGCAGGTGACTACCAGCACCAGAGGTCATGAAAGAAGACAGCAGAAGCGACACAGGAAAAATGCCAACAGTGAGTAACAGCCCACAGACTGAGAGTCTCAAAAGAGAAAGACACTCAGTAGCTACACTTCTCTAGAGGCAGGGCATTTCCTCATCCTCAGTCTACATTTATAGAAAGTGTTATTAACGTTGGGATTCTACCGTGTGCTAACAAAAGGTCACCGTCTGGCAATAAATATCACTTACAGTGATGTAGCTCACCCAAAGACAAACCTTGTCACCAGCCTGGCACTAGGAAGGCTGGAGAGAAAAACACAGATTATTCTGTATAATCACAGGAGTTTTAAAACTGAGGTTACCTACCCTGTCTCTTGTTTGAGAAAGCTGAGACCCAAAGTAACTGTAGGTTTTGTTCAAAGGTGTTTAACAAATAAACGTGCTGCTCTGTGCTCCTGTTTGGACACTGAACTTAGTACACTGGCTCTGAGAGCTGTTCTCCCACCCAGTTATTATTTCATTAGCATAAATAACACTTCACATTCACTGAAGGCCACACACAGATACTGTGCTGAGCACTGTAAATCATTTCACTTAACCCTCACAAAATACCGATGAGAATGACTATTATTTCTGCTATCCAGAAAGAAAGAAGACAGGACCTTAAGACTTGGGATGTTTTTAAGGCAAATGTAGAAAATAGCCTTATAATCAAATACAATTAGATTAAATCATCTTAATCTTTACTAAAGAGATCAAAACATTTTTCTGATTATAAACAAGCAAAGTAGCTATATTATTTTCTATAATCAATGCTCCCTAACTTTAAGTTCTGCATCTGTGTATTTAATCAATCATAGAGTGAAAATACTTTTGAAAATGTTGTCTATATTAAATACCCACAACTTTCTTTCTTGTCCTCATTCCCTAAATAATACAAGTGTTTACATGGCCGTTACACTGTATTATTGGGTATTAGAAGCAACCTTGAGATGATTTAAAGTATATGGGAGGAAGTGTGTGGGTGATCCGCAAACTCTTTTTCAAGTCCATTTTATTTTAATGGCAAGTG